AAAATATAGAAAACACTTAAAGGCATATGACAGTCAATATGACAGTCATGTGAAACATGACACATCTGCATTACAGTTTATCGTACAAGCTGACTGCAAGACATATAGTTGCATGTCAGGATACAGCAGTGCCAACTGAAAAAACAAGTTTCCCTTTTTTCAAAACTGCAAGATTCCTACTACTGTTCATTTTGCCTTTGATATTCAGAGGGAGTTGTATTTGTCCATAGACACTTCTGCCAATTATTACTGTTTGTTACTTCGAGCCTACTCTATTTTTAGCACTTTAAAAGGGACTCGGCACTAATACCCTACCACCAAGAGGAAAAGTGTTAAATCTCCCCCTTTTCCCTCACTATCTTTGTGTTGCCATCCTGAGGAACTATAATCCACACCTCAACTCAGCTTCATACCATCTGGGCCCCAGCAAGCGCGCAAAAGACACTGTAGTGCTTTGAAAGGGATATTGCTCAACTTCAAATGAGAATTCTCTTTACTTCACATCTAATCCTTGTCATCTAGTTCTGAGGACCCACAGTGAGCTTATATGTTTCTTGATAAACTGTTTCTGCTCTCTGGGGATTCAGCAGTCCCCTCAGATTGGAGGAAGTGGATTATTTCTGAAAGCAGGCCTGCTAACAGATATTGTTGCTCTACTGTGAATGTCGTTACTTTTGCTCACAATTGCCAAGAGTCATTATATTTGCTGCATATATCAGTGTTATTTTATTCTTTTTGATCAAGTTACCTTTATTCCAATATAATCTCCATATTGGTTTATACTAACTTGTGCGCGAGTCCATTTTACAGTTGTGATTTACTTTGGTCACCACTGCACAGTGGTTCCAGTAGAGGCTGGGCTTTCAACAAGAGGTCCAGATCGACAGGGAACCCACAAATTACTAAAGCAACCCTTAAGGGTGAAGCCAAGCTCAGGAAGAATACCATGGAGACTGTACCATTTAAACCCAAGAACAAAAATTGTAATTTAGTGCAACTTACCAGCCCTTGTGTGGTAGCTGCATTCCTTTTATTTCAGGTTTTTACCTGGTGATCCTGCCAGTAACATACTTCCTGTCCTAGAACACTGAATCACCATATTGCATCCATGACTTGCCCAACCTATGACAGGAAACCTGCTCAGAATGCCTCCCCCCCTTCACCTTTGTGAACTACAGAACACCAGCCTGCTATGTTATGTAGATGAAATGGGAAGGACTGATAACTCTAGAGGCAACACCAAAGACTGCAAAGAGCTCGCAACGCACAGGACACAGGAGTGCTGGCAGGATCAACAGGTTTTATTTTTGCAAGTATCATGCAGAGATAATACATCAGATGCTTTAAAAATATATAATAATAATATTAATAATAATAATGGTGTGGATGGCCAGCTTAAAGTGGTTCTAAAAGGTAGAAGTTTTTTTTACCTCAATGCATTCTCTGCTTTAAGGTAAAAACCTCCTGTGTTCAGCTCCCCCCACCCTTATACTTACCTGAGCCCAATCTCAACCCATATGGAAGAAAAATATATTTGAAATATATTTTAAAAATATTTTTTCCCAAATATAATGTCATGTATTTGAAATACTACAATTTTTGCCCATATTCAATATATATATATATATATATATATATATATATATATATCCATTCAGTCGTATCCAACCCTTGGCGATTGCATGGACCGTCACTCGTAAGCGACTTTTTCCATGAACTCTCTTAGCAATTATTTTACAGGGTAGGTAGGCAGGTCTTTCCCCAACCCCTACCATGCAGGAGATCCCACATGGCCAGGGATGAAACTAGGACAATTTAGACAGGAGCCAAGTAACATATATATATATATATATACATACATACTGCATATTGAAATGCGCTTTTATTACTAAATATATGAAAAATATTTTTAAAAATACATTTCAAATATACTGTATGTCTTTAAAATACAAATCTACATTTTTGGAATGCATTTACAAATATATGTAAAAATATATGTTAAAAATGACTTTTTTCAAATATATTCTTCAGGTTTTTTTTAACATATAAAAAAGTCATTTTAACATATATTTTTACATATATTTGTAAAAATGTATAATATTCCAAAAATGTAGATTTGTATTTTAAAGACATACAGTATATTTGAAATGTATTTTTAAAAATATTTTTCATATATTTTGTAATAAAAACTCATTTCAACATGCAGTATGTATGTATATATATATATATATATATATATTTTTTTTTTTATTGGAATATATTTTGCAATATATTGAATATGGCCAGAATTGTAGTATTTCAAATATATGTCAATATATTTAGGAAGAATATTTTTAAAATATATCTCAAATATATGTTTTTTCCATGTGGGAATCCAGCGCTGTGCCTGAAAGCAGGCACATGGAACCGGCCATGGAACCGGCAGAGGAAGCCATTGGTTCCTGCTGCTGTCAATCACAGTCTGTGAGGAGAGAGCAGGGGGTGGGGCCAAGCTGTGCTGTGTCAATGGACACACAGAGCACAGCTTGGCCCCATTGGCTTCTTACAGGGGTACTCTTGGGGAAGCGCCAGCAGAGGACCCAAGAAGAAGAGGACTGGGGCTGCTCTGTGGAAAACCATTTACACACAGCAGGCAAGTATACCAATGTTTAATTTAAAGAAAAATAAAAAATTCCCTTTGCAAATCACTTTAAAGTGATCATTTTCTTAATCCAAGCAGGACAAAGTAAAAAGGTCACCTACCCCTCCTCCTTCCAGCAGTGTATAATCACCTTCCCTCACTATCCCTCCACTTCCAGGACTGGAGAAAGAAAACTATGCAAGCTTCAAACCGACTTGCCGGAGATTACACAAGAACTCCAAAGCAAAGCAACCCCACTGTCACATGGAAAAGGAAGTCGCACCCAGAAGAGACTTCTATTTCATTTCTCACCCAGCAAAGGTCAGTACATTTTGTAGTGGGCAGAAGGGGAGATGGGGAGTTAACCACTTGCCTACCGGCATTATTCCCCCCTTCCTGCCCACACCAATTTTCAGCTTTCAGCTCTCTCATACTTTGAATGACAATTGCACAGTCATGCAACATTGTACCCAAACTATATTTTAGCATTTTTTGATACAGATAGAGCTTTCTTTTGGTAGTATTTAATCACCACTGGGGTTTTTATTTTTTGCTAAACAAACTAAAACGCTTTGAAAAAAAACTAAAAAAAAAAAGTTTTTCTTAGTTTCTGTTATAAAGTTTTGTAAATAAGTAATTTTTCTCCTTCACTGATGGGCACTGATAGGCAGCACTGATGGGCACTGTTAGGCGGAACTGATGGGTGGCACTGATGGGCACTGTTAGGAGGCACTGATGAGCACTCATAGGCAGCACTGACGGGCACTGTTAGGTGGAACTGATGGGCGGCACTGATGGGCACTGTTAGGAGGCAGTGATAGGTGGCATTGATGGGCATTGTTAGGCGGCACTGATGGGCAGCACTGATGGGCACTGTTAGGAGGCAGTGAAAGTTGGCATTGATGGGCATTGATAGGCGACACTGAAGGGCACTACTGATAGGTGGCTTTGATTCAACTGATAGGCACTGATTGCCAGCACTGATTTCCAGCACAGATGGGCACAGATGGACACTATTGACTGCACTGATGGGCTGCACTGATGTGCACTGTTAGGCGGCACTGATGGGCATCGATAGGCAGCACTGATGGGCACTACTGATAGGTGGCGCTGATTCAACTGATAGGCACTGATTGCCAGCACTGATTTCCAGCAGAGATGGACACTATTGACTGCACTGATGGGCGGCACTGATGGGCAGCACTGATGTGCACTGTTAGGCGGCACTGATGGGCATCGATAGGCAGCACTGATGGGCACTACTGATAGGTGGCACTGATTCAACTGATAGGCACTGATTGCCAGCACTGATTTCCAGTACAGATGGGCACAGATGGACACTGTTGGCTGCACTGATGGGGCTACACTGATCACTAGGACACTGATGATCAGTGCCCTGATGCTCAGTGTAGATGTCCCCCTGTGAAATGCCGCTTACTGGCTCTCCTCTCCTCATGCGCTGTCAGTGTGAGGAGAGGACTGCTGATAACCGGCATTAAATATTTACCCGGTGATCAGCTGTGATTGGACACAGCTGATCATATAGTAAAAGCGGCTGTGATTGGTCCGTTCCTTAGTCATGTGATCAGCTGTGTCAAAGTCGGGATCCACCCCAGGTTCTGGAGCAGCACCTGGCTCAGCCTCTCAGCAATGACTGACAGTCCTGATCTCTGCTCAGAGCGGCTCTGAGAACTCACCCTTAGAGCCGGCGGGGGAAAGATGCAGCATCGGACCCATGCTGCATCCACCTAGGTAAGTATTTCTGGGGGGAAAAAAAGGAATCCCATAAATCTATATTTCTCAAACTTTTTTCAGTCAAGGCAGCCTTTAAAATTGTGAACAAATCTTGAGGCGCCCCATTCTAAAATGTAAATAACTAAAGTAATACAGTATTTCTACATAATGCAGTAACATCCACACATGTAGGACACCCAACATTAGAGGTGATTTATTCTTCCAAAACAAATACACCTTTGCACACTGGTACTGATGAGGATATCAAGGTTTCTCTTTTCTCTCTCTCACTCAGCTAATGGGACCCCAGTGCTGATATGGAGGGCAAACAAGGATGCGGTGCAGGCACCAGAAGTCCTCCTTATTAACTGATGACATCATTGGTTGTCAGGATGCTGGTGGCTAGAAGGTTGTAATGGTGCACAAAGAAAACCCCTGTCTTTATAAAAATTAAAAGGCAAGCCTGATCCAATCGCTGGCTTGTATACAGTTTGTGGGCAATTTGTATGCATTTTCCAAGGCACCCCTGAAGAAACCAGAAGGCACCCCTGAAGAAACCAGAAGGCACCCTGGACACCCTGCTTGAAAAAGGCTGGTGTAAATGATAACCCAAAACACATTTCAGTAACAGTGTAGGAAGCCATACCTGTGATGTTAAGCAGCTTGGGCAGAAACCGATTCCAGAAGGTGCATGTTTGGACCCTTATTCCCTGCAGGTTCTGGAGGGGCATATTATTCAGAGGTAAATACTTCTGATCTGTCACTGTATAGATGGGCCAACGAGATTGGCGGGTATCATCATTAGGATCTCTGGTAACAAAGGCAAATTTAACATGAATATTCATCAAAATAACACAACTTTTTGTCAAACCATCTCTATCAATGGATATCCTGGTATGCTTCATTCACTTGCAAGCTGTCTGGTAAACTACCATTTTCATTTAAAGTGGTAGTAAATGTAGTAGAGGTAGCAATGCATACTAGCACATTATGACATCCTTGCAGGGGAATTTTTGTTTTCTGTGGTTTACTATCAATTACATCAGTAGTATAATTGAAAACCATCTTAAATTCTCTCCATCTATCTGGAAGCCATCCTCGATTAAGGATCATCTTAACCCTCTACGGCTATCTGGAAGCCATCCTCGATTAAGGATCATCTTAACCCTCTACAGCTATCTGGAAGCCATCCTCGATTAAGGATCATCTGAACCCTCTACAGCTATCTGGAAGCCATCCTCGATTAAGGATCATCTGAACCCTCTACAGCTATCTGGAAGCCATCCTCGATTAAGGATCATCTTAACCCTCTACAGCTATGTGGAAGCCATCCTCGATTAAGGATCATCTTAACCCTCTACAGCTATCTGGAAGCCATCCTCGATTAAGGATCATCTTAACCCTCTACAGCTATCTGGAAGCCATCCTCGATTAAGGATCATCTTAACCCTCTACAGCTATCTGGAAGCCATCCTCGATTAAGGATCATCTTAACCCTCTACAGCTATCTGGAAGCCATCCTCGATTAAGGATCATCTTAACCTTCTACAGCTATCTGGAAGTCATCCTCGATTAAGGATCATCTTAACCCTCTACAGCTATTTGGAAGCCATCCTCGATTAAGGATCATCTAACCCTCTACAGCTATCTGGAAGCCATCCTCGATTAAGGATCATCTTAACCCTCTACAGCTATCTGGAAGCCATCCTCGATTAAGGATCATCTTAACTCTCTACAGCTATCTGGAAGCCATCCTCGATTAAGGATCATCTTGACCCTCTACAGCTATCTGGAAGCCATCCTCGATTAAGGATCATCTTAACCCTCTACACCTATCTGGAAGCCATCCTCGATTAAGGATCATCTTAACCCTCTACAGCTATCTGGAAGCCATCCTCGATTAAGGATCATCTTAACCCTCTACATTTATGTGGAAGCCTTCCTCAGTTATTGACCTGGTTTTTCTTCTTCATCTATCTAAAAGCCTACCTCTACCAAAGGACCATCTATATGCTGTCCTTTGATGCAGAGGCCTTCCTCATATATCGACCATCTTTATTCCTTCCATCCATCTATCTAGAAATCTAATTTTCTTATGCCCAATCTGAACCAAACATCCTTTTTAGTATAAGATAGGATGGAGGAATAGAACCTCTGTCAGATTATTACAGGTCACACCATCCAAGGGCAGCCATTCCCTTACTTCCTGTCCTTTCACACCCATCACTGGAGAGGAAATCTCCAACAGAAAAAACAAACAGCAATTTAGGAACCCAAAAAAGATCCTAGCCCATTTCTCTGTACGAAAAGAATATTTGCTTTGATTGTGTCATTTGGAGAGATTTACCCGTACCTCCTGACATTACCAGAGCAGGTGAGGGAACCTCCCAATCAGGGATCAAGAGCATAATCCCACAAAGATTCTAATTAATTCAAAACAAAAAAGTTTTGGCTGAAGTTGAAGGTAATGACCAGGGGCGGACTGACAACTCAAGGGACCCCAGGCAATAGGGGATCATGGTGCCCCTGTGTCCTTGTCCAAACTCAAAAAAGCCTACCAGGTACCAGGGGCATCTCATGGGGCCCCCTACTGACCCTGGGCCCTCGGGCAGTGCCCGAGTTTCCAAATGGTTAGTCCGCCCCTGGTAATGACCAATAACCTCTCCATCTATTTAAGAGTCTATTAACCGCCATTTTCTTTAGTTCCATCTTCTTGAACATCTAGTTTTCTTAATGTCCATCCTCATCTGCCCCACAAATGTGCAAAATGGTATTTAATAACGGTCATTGGCGTTCCTCTCTTTTAAAGTCTTATTCCATGAATAACCATCTTCATTCTGCCACTTCTTTTAAAGATAACAGAAGAGCAGATATCTCATGGACTGTAAAATCCATTTATTCCTCAAACAATTACTCTACTATCAAAACCACCACAGCTCATTTCTTTTCTACTGAGGGAAAGGAAAGGATACTTAAAGCAGTAATTACAAAACTTTTAGTTTTCAATCTTCGGTTGAGTGTAAAAGGACTCACATTTTATTAATCATACCCCCCGCCAATGCAAGTCCATGACACCTGCTTGGAACCTCCTTCCTTGCAAAAGTGTATTCTCAATAGACTTCTATGGAGAGTCAGATGGAGACAGGATTACACAGAATTGTTGAAGGCATATTTCAGCATTTTAGTGTCACATGCCTTCTAAGGGATCCACTGCAGAAATTATACAGAGAATTCCCTTCTGTCACTAACTGAGTCATGTAGAACAGTAATGACCACGTGGAGGATTGTGTCATGCTTCATTGCACCCAGATAACATCCGCCAGAGGGGTGACACCATCAAGTTGGTGTATCCTGGGCTATGACTGGAATGAGGTGACAACAACATAGGAGGGGTGGTGACCTCTAAGGAGGGAGGAAATGAATGGTCGTTTTTCTGTCTGCCCCGCCTTCCCTCCCCCCATTGCAGGACAAGTCCGGCTCACTCCTCCTTCTGGATGTAATGACATCGTCACCAGGGGCAGACTGACAACTCATGGGGCCCCCGGGCAATAGGTGATCATGGGGCCCCTGTGTCCTCGCCTACACTCAAACCACACCCAAAAAAGCCTATGAAAGGTACCAGGGGCATCTCATTGGGGCCCCCTACTGACCCTGGGCCCTCGGGCAGTGCCCGAGTTCCCAAATGGTCAGTTCGCCCCTGATCGTCACGTGGAATGTGCTCCCCGATTGTCCTGGTAACAGGTAATTGTTTACTAGCTGGAGCTGGACGGAGTGATGGCGGTCAGGGGAGAGGTGCGAGAGGAGGAGCAGGTGTGCTGCAGGGGAATTATAATTGTGTGGGGAGAAGGTAAATATAATTGGGGGGGGAGGACTGAAGGGGAATTTTATGTAACAGAGGAAGATATGTGAGGTGTTATAACGTGTGACATTTTCATTCATGGAAACTCAACTATCTTTTTGCACTTTCATGTATTATGATGTCATTCACATGCAGAGCTTTTCCTTTTCCCTGAAGAAGGAGTGAAGTCACTCCAAAACGCGTTGGATCATATAGAAACTATCTCTGTAATAATATGTGTTGATGGTGATGTCACAATATTTTTAAATGGCTAATCAAGTATAGTCATACTAGGTACATTTATCATGAAATCAATACTCCTGATGGCAATGCTGTACTGTAATTTTGGATGATCTGTTATATGGTATGAAAATTTGACACAATAAAGAGTTTGTACTTTTTACAATTTTTTGCTATATATTTATGCCTATAAATTTAAAGTCCCAAGTCTTATAGGGGGTCTCTCTTCCTTAATTTATCTTGCAATTTTGGGGATGTTGGCTATTGATCAGGAAACTTCTTTCTTCTTTTTTTTTTATTGTTGGGGGGGGGGGGGGGGGGGGTTTGGAGCAGTTTTAACAGGTCAGGGGAATGTGGGGTAATTATAATGTGGGGGAGGAATTACAGGGTCATTTTAATGTGATGGGGCATGGGGAAATACCATTGGGTAATTATAGTACTGGAGTGGGAGATTTATGATGGGGGTATGTAATTGTAATGGGGGAAATACTCTGAGGTAATTATAATGGGGGGGGGGGGGATTGTGCAGTAATTGGTGGGGGGGGGGGAGTAATTAGATGCAATGTGGGGTAGTTATGGAGATTATGTGTAACAGAGGAGGATGTATGAGACAGAGGAGGATGTGTGAGGTAATTTTAATGGGGGTGGTGGTGTTGTGGGGCAATTATAAAATTATTGGGGGGGTGGTGAGATGATGTTTTACAACACCAGGTAACACCAACCCTAGCGATGCCACTGCATTCCACCAAAGACTGATAAAATAAGTGAAGTAGCCAGATATTTTTAAGCATATTTTACAATCTCCACAACTAACTGAATTTTGTCCTTATTGGTTTTATTGGTTTCATTTAATTATATCATGATTCTTTGGCCTAAGGCCAATCAAAACTGATCATGCTGAAGCACATACTAACTGCTTTCTCTTAGCTAAAGAAGAGAGTTCTGGTTCACAAGGCCTTGGGTTTTGCTCTTCCTCTGTGGCTATTAAAGCCTCACTTGGAATCAGATCACATGATGCAGTCACATTTAAATAAATTACTCATGAGTACACTAAAAATGGGGTGGGAATCTGAGGGATACCTCTTCCCATTGGGATCCTAAAGATTTGGTAGCAGTTGGTGTGCTTCAACATGCTGAGTATTGAATTATCAGTTTTGAGTGAACTTAGGCCTTCAAGCCAAAATAAGCCTTTTGTACACCCTCACCCTGTCCGTGCAAAAAATTGGCCCAATATTTCATCATTCTCCGGCTCAGATCAGCCTCTTGCTTGGTATAGTTCAGTTTGGGATCTAGGGGAAGTCCAAAGACAAACTCTATCTCATAGCCATGTGGAACTCCCATCCACTGTGGCCAAGCCATATTGGAGGCTCTGTGATCAAAGTAATAGGCATAGACTCGGTTTCCAAATTCAGATACTTTTCCTGCAAAATGAGTCACGGGGCAGATGACATTGTGGTCTCCCACCAACTGGTCCATGGCATCTCTGTTTTTTATTGGAGCATGTTCATCTGTCCAGTCTGTGTACTGCATCACCACTGCTTCCAGTGCAATGTCATTGGCATGTGGAACACTCATCCTCACCCCACCAAGGAACTCCTCCCGAGTGATCAAGCTATCATTGTTCTTGCTAAAGCCAGGTGCACCGTACAATAAAAAGTAGGATCCCTCATTCTGGTTAACACCCACTATCAAGGGGCATGGTTTGAACCGACCCATGTTCAACAAAGTTTCCGGGGCATCTGGGAAAAAGTCTCCATCAGGCACTGGAACAAAGGCAAAGCGGAAGACACTTGGTGCTGGAAGAACAGAGAATTCATGGTCAATGAGCTTCTGTGGTGGCTTTGTTCTTAGGCAATTCAACAATTCTGAGTCATTTCCCTGTCTACATTCCAAAAGCTTTCCCAAAAGCTCTGCTCGACGTCGACCCTCTTGGGGTGTAACAGTAGCCCATGGTGTGTTAGGAGAACCACTTTGCAATATGGCCTTAGAAAAGAGATGGTGGCTACCAGGAGAAAGGACATGCATGCCCACTGAAGCACCTCCAGCACTTTCACCAAAGATGGTGACAGTCCTGGGATCTCCTCCAAAGAGCACTATGTTATCTTGGACCCACTGTAGTGCAAGACGCTGATCAAACAAACCCACATTCCCCGGGGCATCAGCACTTCCGGGTGTCAGGGTCAGGAAGCCAAAAGCTCCTACACGGTAATTCATTGAGACCACTACGACATTTTCTGTGTGGCAAAGATAACGTCCATCGTAAACATCCAGGGAAGAGGATCCACTGTAAAAGCCACCTCCATAGATCCAGACCATCACTGTGGCATTTGAAGGACGAGGATGAGGAACCCAGATATTTAGGTACAAGCAATCCTCGCTCATTGGCCTATTGGGGTTCCACATCTCCATCCCAGAGAACCCGGGATATAGGGTATCAAAGTACTGGTAGCAAGCATTGGGGTAGACTGTTGCATCCCACACATCACTCCATGGCTTCTTTGGCTCTGTGCGGCGAAATCTTAACTTATCCACTGGAGGCTCAGCAAACGGGATCCCTAGAAAGGCTGTGACATGACTGTTGAGGACGCTTAGCCTGGTACCTCGCACCTTTCCAGAGCGGGTGGTGACCAGGAGCTCAGTATCACTTTGACCAAATGCCCGAGACAGGAGGAGAGAGAGGGTGCAGAGGGTAATCGGGGTCAGAGACAAGAAGTGCATGATTGGTCCTCACTGAATTTACCTAAGAAGCAAGAAGGAGAAAAGAAGATAAAAAAAAACATTATTTCAGGGCACAAAGTCAGTTTGCAAAGTTACAAGATACACACAGCTTAAACAGAAAAAGACATTCATGTTTGGGGAAAAACAGAACAGTTCTGAGAATGGCAGGGTGATAAGAGGAAAAACATATGTGTAAGTTAAACACAGATAAGAGAGAGAAAGATAGTAGAGAGAAACATGGTACTGCAGTGTAGTAGTAAAGTGGGAAAGATGAAACTGTTGAGGCGTGATCTGACTGGCAACCAAACAACTTTTCGGGGACGACAATGAGAGCTTATGATGTTGAAGCAGGGGCGGACTGACCATTTGGAAACTCGGGCACTGCCCGAGGGCCCGGGGTCAGTAGGGGGGCCCCATGAGATGCCCCTGGTACCTTTTTCATAGGCTTTTTTGAGTTTGGGCAAGGACACAGGGGCCCCATGATCCCCTATTGCCCGGGGGCCCCATGAGTTGTCAGTCCGCCCCTGCATTGAACGTTCCTATATCACGTAAGAAACGGCAATAATTACGATGCTAAAGAGAAAGGGCAGGTGCCTCATTGGATGTTCTTGTCAGGGAGACATCTATATTTCTATGACCTGATCCAAGGCACCAGGCCAAGCTACCAGACAGGTTTTCCAGGATCAATGACACCGTTTTACAGGATAATCCTGCCCAAAAGTACCTGTTCCTCGGTCTAGCGGCGTCCGCAGTCTTCTCTCCCCGGCGCCGGCATGGGCACCCGGCTGTGAAAGCTTGCGGTTTCACAGCCAGGTGCCCACTGCGCATGCGCAAGAAGCGCTGCGCTTTGTGAATGGCCCTGTAATCTTCTGGGACCTGTCATGTGTCCCAGAAGATTATGGTGAGGGAGGGGGAAGGACAACTCCACGGAAGTGGGAGCGGGAACCTGTCAAATTCGGGTACCCACTCCCCCCCCCTCCGCTCCCCAAAGGTTCGCAGTCTCTGGTCATCTCCTGTACTATGTCCGCAGTCTCTGGTCATCTCCTGTACTATGTCCGCAGTCTCTGGTCATCTCCTGTACTATGTCCGCAGTCTCTGGTCATCTCCTGTACTGTGTCCGCAGTCTCTGGTCATCTCCTGTACTATGTCCGCAGTCTCTGGTCATCTCCTGTACTATGTCCGCAGTCTGGCTCTGGTCATTTCCTGTACTATGTCCGCAGTCTCTGGTCCTCTCCTGTACTATGTCCGCAGTCTCTGGTCATCTCCTGTACTATGTCTGCAGTCTCTGGTCATCTGCTGTACTGTGTCCGCAGTCTCTGGTCCTGCACTGTGTCCGCAGTCTCTGGTCATCTCCTGTACTGTGTCCGCAGTCTCTGGTCATCTCCTGTACTGTGTCCGCAGTCTCTGGTCATCTCCTCTCTGTACTGTGTCCGCAGTCTCTGGTCCTCTCCTGTACTGTGTCCGCAGTCTCTGTCATCTCCTGTACTATGTCCGCAGTCTCTGGTCATCTCCTGTACTATGTCCGCAGTCTCTGGTCATCTCCTGTACTATGTCCGCAGTCTCTGGTCATTTCCTGTACTATGTCCGCAGTCTCTGGTCATCTCCTGTACTATGTCCGCAGTCTCTGGTCATCTCCTGTACTATGTCGCAGTCTCTGGTCATTTCCTGTACTGTGTTCGCAGTCTCTGGTCATCTCCTGTACTATGTCCGCAGTCTCTGGTCATCTCCTGTACTGTGTTCGCAGTCTCTGGTCATCCCCTGTATTGTGTCTGCAGTGTCTGGTCATCTCCTGTACTATGTCCGCAGTCTCTGGTCATTTCCTGTACTGTGTTCGCAGTCTCTGGTCATCCCCTGTACTGTGTCTGCAGTGTCTGGTCCTCTCCTGTACTATGTCTGCAGTCTCTGGTCATCTCCTGTACGGTGTCTGCAGTCTCTGGTCATCTCCTGTACTGTGTCCGCAGCTCTGGTCAGTCCCCTGTCTGGTCATCTCCATCTGTACTGTGTCTGCAGTCTCTGGTCATCCCCTGTACTGTGTCTGCAGTCTCTGGTCATCCCCTGTACTGTGTCCAGTCCTGTACTGTGTGTCCAGCAGTCTCTGGTCATCTGGTCATCTCCAGTACTGTGTCCACAGTCTCTGGTCATCCCCTGTACTGTGTCTGCAGTCTCTGGTCATCCCCTGTACTGTGTCTGCAGTCTCTGGTCATCCCCTGTACTGTGTCCGCAGTCACCGGTCATCTCCTGTACTGTGTCCGCAGTCTCTGGTCATTTCCTGTACTATGTCTGCACTCCATTGGTTCAGAATATCCTTTTTCCTCCTCTAAAATGTAGGTGCGTCTTATGGAGTGAAAAACACAGTAAATCCTGTATAATAATTATAATAGTAACCTGACAGGGGGGGGGGGGGGCGGTCTGAAACCTTCCTGACTCTACCCGAAAATTGAAAAAAAAAATTAGTCTATAGATCCAGTTTAAAATTATACTTGTGTAACACATAGCGTAACAACACGTAACAAAGTGCCATTGCTATTGTGAAGGGCCCATTCACATCTATGTACAGACAACACACACTTGTCTATAATGCACAGGTCCCAACCTTCAGCCCAAGGGCCACATGTGTCCTTTTGGTACTTGTATGGCCCACGGACCCAGGAAGTATATATTTGGAGAGGGAGCATTGACTTGTAAAGAGATAATAGCTGTGATCTCTATAAGTCCTTGTTGTACCCAGGGTATATTTGGGGCCATGCACCTACACGGAGGGCCACATTGGGAGCAGCCGCTGCATCTCCATAGACAACAATAGGACTGCTGGCATAGGGACGCAAACAACACCTGTGCATCCCCGTGCTGGAAAGACATGGCCCTGCACAGAGCATATGGATGTAATCACCCCGTGTGAAAAAGGCATCATGTCTTCATTCTCCAGCCAAATTGGTAGCATGTCCACGGTCTAAGCATCATTTCCTCTAGTATGTCTGCAGTCACTTACAGTTTTCTCTAGCTTGACATATACAGCACATTACAGAAGCTAAATGGTTAGCACTTCCACCTGGCAGTAGTAGGGTTGTTGGTTTGAATCCCAATCATGGCACCACCTGCCTGGAGTTTACATGTTCTCCCTGTGCCTGCGTGGGGTTTCCTCTGGGTACTCTGGTTTCCTCCCACACTCCAAAGACATGCCGGTAGGTTTATTGGATCTTGTCTAAATTGGCCCTAGTATGTGTCTGTATGAATGTAGATGAGGGACCTTAGATTGTACGCCCCTTGAGGGTTAGGGACCTTAGATTGTACACCCCTTGAGGGTTAGGGACCTTAGATTGTACGCCCCTTGAGGGTTAGGGACCTTAGATTGTACGCCCCTTGAGGGTTAGGGACCTTAGATTGTACACCCCTTGAGGGTTAGGGACCTTAGATTGTACACCCCTTGAGTTTTACGGACCTTAGATTGTACACCCCTTGAGGGTTAGGGACCTTAGATTGTACACCCCTTGAGGGTTAGGGACCTTAGATTGTACACCCCTTGAGGGTTAGGGACCTTAGATTGTACACCCCTTGAGGGTTAGGGACCTTATATTGTACACCCCTTGAGGGTTAGGGACCTTAATGAGCAATTGTATTATTCCATTAAAAAAAAAAAGTTGCAACCAAAAAAAAAAAATAAACAACAAACACGCAAGTGACTGTCATGACCAGTGCCGCTGCTCTTCCTAGCAATTGAGCTGTAGAGCTAAAATAATTAACATTTACAAAAAACACCAGCTCCAAAAATAGTGAAATAATTCCTAAATAAATGCTGCTGCTCATTAGTGTAAACACTAATTAAATAACAATAAAAAACATCAAACAGCACAAATAAATATTAACAAACAATTAATATATTAAATAATAAAGAAAGAATACAAAAAACTTATTTTAAATAGAATAAATAGAATAGACCCACTCCAAAAATAATTACTGAGATGAATATGGTGAGTAGAATAAAACTGATAAGTCCTTATTCTATGTATTATATTTAATATAAGTTTTTTGTACTATTTCTTAATTATTTATAATATTAATTGTTTGTGAATATTTATTTGCGCTGTTTGATGTTTTTTATTATTAAAATAATTAACAGGCTGAGAGCCAATGTAACATTTTAAAGCATCGTGAACGCTTAAAGCTTCTGGTCGTAAAAAAGAATTTAGAGGAAAAAAACAAAAAAAACAAATGGAATTGCCTCCAAGCCAGGACGGTGAACAGTTATTGCTACTCATTGGAAGAGAGTGAGGGGCACCCCATCCTAAATATTACAACCTGTGTTTATGGAAACATAGAAAAGTGACAGTAGGAAATGGTCTATTGAGTCTGCCCATTTTTTTAACTTTTTTTAATTTCAATAACTTTTTTTGTCTGGGTATAGACAGTGGTGTATTTAGGTTTTGTGCTGCCCTAGGCAACACAAAAATCGGCCCCCCTGCAGAGAGAGCCTGACATTGACCAACAACACCCCTGCCTCCCACCCAAGAGAGCCTTCCACTACCACTGCCCCCCATACACCAGCCACCATCTCCCATGGTGAGAGAGAGAAAAACACTCACCTTCACAACTCTGGACATCCCCTGGAATTAGAGTTGGGCTGTGCATACACCGTCATGAAACCCACAGCCTCTCTCGGAACCCACCAGGTCCCCATGCTGCGTGTGTCCCTTCTACCGTGAGGCAGTGCCCCCCATACACCAGCCACCATCCCGCGGGGCAAGAGAGAGAAAAGACACTCACCTTCACAGCTCCAGACATCCCCGGGAATGAGAGTCGGGCTGTGCATACACTGTCATGAAACCCGCAGCATCTCTTGGAACCCACCAGGTCCCCATGCCGCATGTGTCCCTTCTGTGGGGCACTGCCCCCCATACACCAGCCACCATCCCCCATGGTGAGAAAGAGAAAGGAACTCACCTTCACAGCTCTGGACATCCCTGGAAACGAGAGTCGGGCTGTGCATACACCGTCATGAAACCCGCAGCATCTCTTGGAACCCACCAGGTCCCCATGCCGCATGTGTCCCTTCTGTGGGGCACTGCCCCCCATACACCAGCCACCATCCCCCATGATGAGAAAGAGAAAGGAACTCACCTTCACAGCTCTGGACATCCCCGGGAACGAGAGTCGGGCTGTGCATACACCGTCATGAAACCCGCAGCCTCTCTCGGAATCCACCAGGTCCCCATGCCGCATGTGTCCCCCCCCCCCTGAAAAATGCCGCCCTAGGCAAATGCCTTGTTTGCCGTGTGGTAAATACATCCCTGGGTATGTTTGTCCCAAGCATGTTTGAAGCCATTTACTGTAGATTGGCTCGCTACCTCTGCCGGAGGTTTATTCCAAGCATCAACTACCCTTTGGTAAGAATACTTTCTATGGTTAGTTTTGACATTTCCTCCAGTTTATTTTGAGAACTGCTGAATTCAGTAAAGTTTTCTTCAGATCCTCTGAATCGCTGACAGATATCTGCTTTTTGTACAACTTAACAACATTCCATATATCTACTAGAATACACAGAAGTACCACCGAAACGCAGCTACCTGCTAGAGTACACATATTACTTGTCAAGGAGTAGTGTTCCAGAGCAGCTGTGACGGGTTGAACCTCTACGAAAATTTGCTCGGTGTACGTGTTTGGCCATAGGGACAGTCAAAGACCACAAACAAGGCTCCAGTGACAGCCGGGGAAGACGCAAGGCAAAAGACCGAGAATAAAGATCGGGACAAGAGTCTATAGAGTGCAAAGCGTGGGATCAGCTTCCCTAATGTCCCCTGTCCTCTCCCACCACAACCCTCTCACCTTGTCCTCCTTTCTGCACGCCTTTGTCCTGTCCTCTCCTCCACCCAGCGTCTTCTCACCCTCAGAAGCCCACACAACAGCTGTGACCTCGCCATGCACAGGCAGGGAGACGCACAGCTCTCGGAGGGTAGGGGGGAGTAGAGGAGGAGAGGTGGGGGCCCGGTCTTATCACAGCTGACAAGACCAGAGGGGCTCCCTTTATCACTGCACAGGAAGAAAGAAAAATTGGCCCAAAACATTTCCAGTTTAAGTAGGCAAATCGTCCAATTTTCTAGAGCAAACAGACTATCACGCCAGCTTGAATGACCAAAATTTGGACAGTTTGTGTCCTCCAAAATTTCCAAGACAGGAAAGACTCTCACTACAAAAAAGATCAGTTTCCAATGCTTTTCTCTATGCACTTTTTTTTTTTTTTGATGCGTTTCCGAATGCATGCCAGATTATTTTTTTCAACTCTGCTGGGGTCCGGTGTGTTTCTAATGCATTTTTTATACTTTTTACAGCGTTCCAGTGCAGTTCTGTACACGAAAAAAGCAGCATGTTGTACTTTTTTTTCTGGAACTGAAGAGCACTGGAACACACTGCAGTGGTGTGAACTATGCCATTGGAACCCAACCCACCCAGCTTTTTTAAATATATTTTAAAAATATCCTTCCCAAATATATTGCCATATATTTGAAGTACTACAATTTTGGCGATAATCAATATATTTCAAAATATATTTCAATAAATATATATATATAAAATTTTGCAAGTATCATGCAGAGATAATACATCAGATGCTTTAAAAATATATAACAATAATAATATTAATAATAATAATGGTGCGGATGGCCAGCTTAAAGTGGTTCTATAAGGTAGAAGTTTTTTTTACCTCAATGCATTCTCTGCTTTAAGGTAAAAACCTCCTGTTTTCAGCTTCCCCCCCACCCCACCCTTATACTTACCTGAGCCCAATCTCAACCCCTATGGAAGAAAAATATATTTTAAATATATTTTAAAAATATTTTTCCCAAATATATTGACATGTATTTGAAATACTACAATTTTGCCATATTCTATATATATATATATATATATATATATATATATATATATATACACACACACATATATATATATTATATATATATATATATATATATTATATATATACAGTTGCAAGAAAAAGTATGTGAACCCCTTGGGATTACGTGGAGTTTTGCATGAATTGGGCATAAAATGTGCTCTGAACGTCATCTAAGTTACAACAATAGAAGAACACAGTCTGCTGAACATAATACTACACAAACATTAGATGTTGCCATGGTTTAATTGCACACAACATGTAAACATTCACAGTGCAGGGAGGAAAAAGTATGTGAACCTTTGGACTTAATAACTGGTTGACCCTCCTTTTGGCAGCAATAACCTCAACCAAACGTTTCCTGTAGTTGCAGATCAGACCTGCACAACGATCTGGAGTAATTTTGGACCACTCCTCTTCACAAAACTGTTTCAGTGTAGCAATATTCTTGGGATGTCTGGTGTGAATCGCTCTCTTAAGGTCATGCCACAGCATTTCAATCGGGTTGAGGTCAGGACTCTGACTGGGCCACTCCAGAAGGCGTATTCTGTGCTGTTGCAGCCATTGTTTTGTTGAATGACTTGTATGCTTTGGGTCATTGTCCTGTTGCATCACCCATCCTCTGCGGAGCTTCAGTTGGCGGACAGATGGTCGTACGTTTTCCTGCAAAATGTCTTGATAAACTCTGGAATTCATTTTCACATCAATGACAACAATCCGTCCAGGCCCTGAGGCAGCAAAGCAGACCCAAACCATGATGCTCCCTCCGCCATGTTTCACAGTGGGGATGAGGTTTTGATGTTGGTGTGCTGTGCCTTTTTTTCTCCACACATAATGTTGTGTGTTCTTCCCAAACAACTCAATCATGGTTTCATCTGTCCACAGTATATTTTGCCAGTAGTGCTGTGGAACATCCAGGTGCTCTTTTGCAAACTTCAAACGTGCTGCAATATTCTTTTTGGACAGCAATGGCTTCCACTGTGGTGTCCTCCCATGTACTCCATTCTTTTTTAATGTTTTCCTTATTGTAGATGTGTCAACAAAAATGTTAGCATGTGCCAGAGATTTCTGTAGGTCTTTAGCTGACACTCTGGGATTCTTCTTTACCTCATGCAGCATTCTGCGCTGTGCTCTTGCAGTCATTTTTACATGATGACCACGCCTAGGGAGAGTAGCAACAGTGCTAAACTTTCTCCATTTGTAGACAGTCTGTCTTACCGTGGACACATGAACATCAAGGCTTTTGGAGATACTTTTGTAACCCTTTCCAGCTTCATGCAAGTCAACAATTCTTGATCGTAGGTATTCTGAGAGCTCTTTTCTGCGAGGCATGGTTCACATCAGACAGTGCTTCTTGAAACCAGTAAACCCAAAACAGGTGTGTGTTTTTTAAGGGCAGGACAGCTGTCAGCAACACATCCCATGTTTTATTTTGCTGAGAAGTCACTTTGACTACCACCCCAGGGCAGATGATTCATGTGGAATATACCTCCCAGAATTCATCCGCCCTCGGCTGGGGCATGGAGGCAGGATGGTGCGCTTAGCTGAGAAGACCCCTCCTCCCCTCCTGAAGACTCCTGGGAAGTATGACATCATTTGCCTAAGCCTGGAAACCCGGAAAGTAAGGAAAAAAAAAAAAGAAAGTTTAACCACTTCCCGTCTGGCCCATGTACATAAACTGCCAGACGGGAGCCATGCAGAAGCGGGTGGCCGTTTATAAAACATCCTCCCACTTTCCTGCCTGTGTTCGCTCGTTGTACGGGACCTCTGTGTGAGGTCCCGATCATGTGATCACTGATTGGCCAATCAGTGATCAATTGAATAGTAGTAAGCAAGATGTCACTTCTGACATCATTGCTTACTACATGTGAAATCTGTGAATAATCACAGAGGTCACATGGTACAAGGCTATTCACAACAGCCTTGTACCATGTGACAAGCTGTGACCATTCACAGCTCACACAGTATTTCTCAATGGCTGCAGGAATGCAGCCAGAGAGAAGGAGAAATGATTGCTTTTACAGCCTTTATGGGTGTAAAAGCAATCGGTGTAAAAGAAAAAAAAAAAAATCTTCATCACCCCCATAAGTACTACAGAGTCACTATGGTGACACTGTACTGCTAGGGTGATGGTATGCTAAATAATTAAATAAATAATATAAAAAATAAAATAAAAAATGTAAAAAAATTGTTTTCAGAATTATAATTTTTGGTTATAAACTAATTAAGTTATTTGGTTTTTACTAAAAATATAACTGAATAAATTTTGGCCAAGATTTATGAAGAAAGATTATTTATTTGCAAAATTTTATAAGAAAAATACTTTTTTTTATAAATGTTTGGACTTTTTCATTTACATAGCAAAAAAAAAAAATCCCAGTAGTGAATAAATACCACCAAAATAAAGTTTTATCTGTCTCAAAAAAATGCAAAAAAATTCATATGGGTACACTGGTGCATGACCGCGCAATTGTCATTCAAAGTGTGGTAGCGCTGAAAGCTGAAAATTGGCCTGGGGCAAGAAGGGGGTGAAAGTGTCCGGACTTGAAGTGGTTAAACACAAATATATATGGTATACTTCCCTATCTATTTACTAATGCTAGCAGCATCCTAGATTGTAAGCTCCAAGGATCAGGGCCCTCCTATCCCTCTTGTATTGAACTGTTTTGTTGCTGTATTGTCTCCCGTTATATTGTAAAGTGCTGAGCATACTGTTGGCGCTATATAAATCCTGTAATAATAATAATAATAATAATATATAAATCCTGTATAATATTAATAATATATAATATCCTGTATAATAATAATAATATATAAATCCTGTATAATAATAATAATAATAATAATATATATCCTGTATAATATTAATCCTGTATAATAATAATAATATATAAAATCCTGATAATAATAATAATAAGGATTAACCCCTTCACGCCAGCACCTCCCGGCCCTTTAAGAGTTTCAGAAGCAGGGAGGTAGGGCAGGGTTTTAGGGTCATGTGACTGCCGTGACGGCACGTCACGGCGGTCACATAGTCGGGAAAGGTCCCGATCGAAAGAGAAGATAGAGACCTTTCTGTGAGTACCAGACATGCATGCTGGGAGCGTGCAGGGCGCACTCTCGGCACATATGTCCTTTTTTAATAGAACGCAAACGTGCGCCCGCTCAGCGTCTAGGCCCAAATACCGGGAGGCCGCACATTTGCATTCGGCCGGCGTGAAGAGGTTAAAAACAGTCAGTGTTGATTGAGTGAAGTTCCGCTTTAGCAATACTTCCGTTGAGAATGTATTCTTTTCAGCTCATAGTTTATTGTGATTTCTTGTCATTTCAGTTTACATGACGTGTTTGCTGGGTTATCATCCCCAAAATACCAGGAAAAAAAAAAAAGTGCCTTGCCGTGCA